CGATGATGATGACTATTTGAACCGTACGCTCTGCGAAACGCGGTGAAGGAGAAACTTCCGTAGAAGCCCCTGTACCTTCGTGATGCATTTGATGGCATTTCAGACGAGAAGGATTACAAGAAGGTTGCTGCGAGCCTGGCTGAATTGCACGGCTCATCGAACAGGCCCCTGGCGAACTCAACGAGGTCTGTGTGTGTGTGTCTGTTTGCATGTTTGTTTGCATGTTTGTTTGTTTGTTTGTTTGCTTGCTTGCTTGCTTGTTTGTTTGTTCGTGGATGTGTGTGTGTGTGTGTTTGTCTGTTTGTTTTGTTGCAGCCCTTTGTCACTCTGCGTGTTAGAGTGTGCAGAATAGCAACTCTCATCCTCCACCACCACCACCACCACCACCACCACCACCTCCATAGTTGGCTGTGCCTGCGCTTCGCCGCCTTCTGATTGCCGACAACGAATTCCAGCTGCCAGACTTTGAGCAGAACCGCACACAAGCGTTGATTGGTGTCGTCTACCACTGCCCGCACGCCTCTGCGGCCTTCCTCATTGAGCAGTTCTACACGACTGAATTGAGTCTTGGCCACCGCCGCCTCATCCTCAACACTCTCGTCCTTGGCGCCGTTCGCCTCTCGGGAAGAAACCCAACTGCGGTCCGTGGGACCGTGTGTGTCTGTGTGTGGGGGGAAGTGTGTGTCTGTGTGTGTGTGTGTGTGTGTCTGCGTGTGTGTCTGTGTGGAAGTGTCTGTGTCTGTGTGGAAGTGTCTGTGTCTGTGTGGAAGTGTCTGTGTCTGTGTGGAAGTGTCTGTGTCTGTGTGGAAGTGTCTGTGTGCTTTTGCCCACCTTCTTGCATGTGTGTGCACTCACAACGCACGCCTCATCCCACCGTCTTCTGTCTTGCAGCAAGACACAACGGCCTCGCTTGGTGTACACGACGCGAGTACCGCAACAGCGCCCAAGGTACCATGCCTGTTTGCCGTGCAACCACACATGTGCTTTCGTGTGTGCGTGAGCGCGAAAATGCATCCCATTAGGACCGCTCACCCACACCTGTGTTGTGTGTGTGCGTGTTCTGACCCTCTGACTTTCTGTCTCTCTCCCTCCCCGCCCCTCTGTCTGCATGTGTGTGTGTGCGTGCGTGTTGCGAATGGCTGCCAGGCCGACGAGAAGGACGAGCGGGAAATGACTGCAGATGAGATTGTGCAGCAGCGATTGGAGAAGAAGACGCGGCGTTTCCACCCATCGTTCTTCGACAAGACCCGTCGCCAGCCATCATCACGTCAGCACATGTGCTGTGTGTGTGTGTGTTTGTGTTTGTGTTTGTGTTTGTGTGTGTGTGTGTGTGTGCGTTTGCACATACATGTGTGTATTGTTTGCATGTGTTTTGGTTGCTCGTGCATGGTTGTTGCATGTGCTTGCTCTCTGCTAACGTGTCCACACGAATTGCACCTCGTGCTCACGCTTACATATGTTTGCCGATCCATGGCCAGAGCACAACCGCTTCCACGATGTTGCTGGGGAGTTCTTCTTCCCGCTCATCGCCAAATACGACCAGCCCATCCGCACAATGCGCATGCTGGTGCGTACTGACGTGAAAACGGCCCTCTCCCCGTGTTGGGGGCTGTCATGACCGTGCTCATATGCCGTGACAGAATGTGTGCACGGTTCTGCGCGCGCGTTTGTTCCCTTGTTCGCCTTTTTACCCGCTCGCTTGCTTGCTTTTCATTCCTCACTCCTGTCCCCGTGACGGCCTGCACTTTGGCTGTGACAGGAACAAGACATGTTCATGCTCAGCCTGCTGCTTCGGGCGCTGGGGACGTGCATGTACTGTGCGGCGTTTGCTCCCATTTTCCCGCGCATGGCCATGACATTTTGCGAGTACGTCGAGTGCAGCCTGCGGCTGTTTGGCGGCCCGTAGCCTGGCAATCCAATGCATGATTTTGATACGCACGCACATGTCCATGCAGGGTTTAACGCACACACGCACACAC